TATCTGTATGGGTCGGGGTTGTCTGAGGAGGAAGCAGATGAATGGAGTTGCGCACGGGAACTTTTATTTAAGATTTAAGTTTTTTTTAAATTAAATATCTGACAGTGATCATTACACAGTGTGGCTCTAATTCCTCACTTCACCATCTGTGTCGCAGTTTCCCGTCTCCAAAATGAGCGTACGCATGGGTCAGAGCTGGCGTGAGGCACCGCACATTTTCACGTCAAGTTTGGATTTTATAAATCACAACCTTGGCRTGAAATGTGGCGTATGCAAGTTTTTTAAATCCGACCCCAGGTTTGAACTGAGAAAGCTTCTCAGACAAGAAACTAAACGTTTTCAACTTCAGAACAGAAGTCTGCTTATTTAGATATTAAACTTGACTTTACATCCCACATCAATCTGCATATATGAGCTAAATAACTGATTTCTAAAGTCTGACAAGAACATCATAAAACTTATTTATGAAGTGCTTTTAAGCACTGAGATGGAAGTTTCACGTTTTCTTATTTTTATTTTAAATCAAGCGTTCACTAAACGGATCCAGAAAGGTCCTGCTCTCGAGGTGCAGCAGSTCTTCTGAGACAAACACCTGTGAAAACAAGCAACAGAAACACTTTTGTTTTCAGTGACTCTTAATCAGCGAGGCTCTGCAGCAAGGAAGGCTTAATGAGTCAGAGCTGGTGGTCAACTGGGAGACTAAAGGAAATTCTTAAGGGAGCTAATTGTTGCTGTCTGAGGAGAAAATGTGCTTAGTCATGCATTGTTTCCACAGCTASCCTCGGAGTATGACGGGAGATGAGCAAACGCTCACATTGGTGGCATTTTTTACTCAAATGATGAGGGGAGGAGGAACTATAATCTTGGCTGCAAGCGTCTTTCTGAAATAGTTATCATCAAAAGGTGTAATGAAGTGTGCTCTACACTTTTGAGAAGATGCTGTTGCTAGGATACCACACGCACACACAAGTTTGTATTTCTATCCTTAATAGGACCATCACGTGTATTGACTTCCAATCCTTTCTGTAGCCAAACCCAAACTAACCATCATCAGTACTTAACCCTAATCTAAAATCAATTCATCCTTTAGTCCTAAACCTAGCCCACAAAGGATGTTTCACCACATTAGGACCAGTCTTTGGTTCCCAAAAGGACTACTGGTCTTGACAAGGTAACAAAAACCAGATACTTTATCTTCAGGGGWTTCACTTAAATGAGAGAAAAATCATGGTCCCTCGACTGTGTCCACCCGTCAGAGCACAGCTGCTTCTGACTGTTGCTGTAATCCCAGCAGCACCTCGTCACCACATACAGAGGCTTCCACTGCAAAATCTGACAATGTCATTCCTGTGRGGAGCATTAATCTGTGGTTACAGGGGTTCAGACTTCACTCTGAGGTTTAGACAGCTTCTGGCTGCCTCAGTGTGATTTCTGAATGAACCGAGGTGATGAGTGGGTCGACACGACCCACACCTGTGCTGTGTAGCAAGGTTAGTCACAGAGCTGAAACGTGTATAGTTAGGCTGGTGCTGCAGTTAAATGATGTGATGAAGTGATGACATCTGGTCTGTTTGACCAGAGGGTTGCAGGATTAAACAACAAATATATTTATTATCAAGGGAAAACCAATGACAATGCACAGCAACGTTGTACTAAAGAAAAAAAATCTGTAAACGAAGTTAAATAATCATGTTTTAAAACCGTCTTTTGGTTCAGAGATGCTCGTTTCATTTCTGAAAACTCCCATCTGTACAGCTCCATCTGTGATTTCTAAACAAACTGATAAACTTCATGATGAACTGGCCTGTGTGGCCATTTGTGGAACTGTTATAAAGAGAATCTAAAAACAAAATACACACAACAACAAAAAAGACAAAAACAGAGAGAACACACCTGATGCACAACTGTAAAATGTTAGCAAACTGATAGTGGGGGGGGGGGGGTTCAAAGACTCAGCTGTTTCCAGTGTTGGTCCAGCTGCTGCTGAATGTGGCCCCTGTCAATAAGCAGAACATAGTGCAACAGAGGGGCACTAAAAGTTGAATGACTGCCTGCCTGCTGGTTTTTTAATAATTAAAATCCTAGCATTTCTTAATAGATGTAATAATTGTTAATCATGTGTGTCTGCTGTGGACAATAATCATTTTCACATCATGAACAGTTCCTCAGAATCACCTCTAAGTGTCGCCAATGGAGCCAAAACCACAGAAACGYGYGTACACCAGCCCTGGAGTTGGAGTGGGGCTGCGCACATTTCCACCTTCAGTTCAGTTTTCATACATCCGGAGTTTTGYGTRGAAAATGGCGTATGCAAGGTTTTTGTGCGTACGCACCGTTGATACGAGGCCCCTGGTGAGCTTCCTCATGCTGCTGRAGCGATCTGCTGCRGAGCAGAACCCGACTGCAAGAACTTTACTACTGACACTTRAGAGCAAGCARCCATCCACATTTAATTTCCACAGTTAACAAGAAAAAAAGGTTTTCGGACTCTGGTTTGAAAAAACAAAGCAAAACAAAACAAAAAATAAAAACTAAAAACACGGTTGAATCACTGCGCGCCAGAGCGCTGTGTTTTTTGCTTCACGGAGGGGACAAAGATCTAAGTTCCCATGAGAATAGAAGAACAAGCATAAACTAAACGCAGAGCGGAGCTGTTAGATAGCTGTATTACAGGACATGGAGACTTTTTGTTTCGCGGGCAAACGTATCCCCTCTGCTGATGATAAAGTTTGAAGCAAACATTTTTTGCTATCAGTTAGCATTGTGTTGGGGATCAGTGTCAGCTACTACCACACCATATTTTAGGCCAATAACTGTCAAATTGACTGAGCTACAGCCATTCTTGTGTCTGCCAACGTCAGTTGGCCTTGGCAGCCATCTTGAATTGTGCTGTGTATGGACAACTAATAACCACTTTTTGCAAATTTCATTAGTTTGTCCACTGGTGCATGAGATATTTTGCTAACAGAAAGACACAGAGGTACTTTAACTTTTTAGTGACAGGTGACAAAAAAAATTTAAAATTTAAAAATTAAAACTAAAAAAATTTTTATTCAGCTATTCCCTCTTCAGG